GGTTCCACAGGTCAGCGTTGGATTGCCATAACAACACAGTGTTAAACTTTCGATATTAAAAAATAAAAAGAACGACCATTTCTCTGTTTTAGGAGCATTAAATGAGAGTAGAATAACCATCTGTTTTTCAGTATCTGTTTTGAAACCAAAACCAAAAAAAAGACCAAAAAGTACACAGTCTGACCAGTCTCATCCAGTCCTTTTTATGTGGCAGCCATCTTGAATTGTGTTAAGTTAATCTGCTGCTGTTGTTCACCCAATGATTACGTTTTGAGAGTTTAGTCCAGTGCTTTGAGATATATTTTGGGAGTGTACACATAAAAACATGGACGAAAACATATCATTCATAGACATAAAGAATTCAACGTACTGTTTAAGATGTACACCGCAAAAAAAAATCCCTGCTGCTTTTTAAAGTATTCATGCCCTATTGAAAATTACATGCGCTTTCTCTGTGTTTCACATTGAATGAAACATAACAAAACAAGAACTGTCAAGATAAGCACCAAACTTCAGTAGATGAGTCTGCTAACATTTCCCCTCAGCTTAGGGAGAGAAATGAAAACTAGATAAGATGAGCGACAAAGATGCTGAATTTATTTGCTTTGGTTTAGAGTTTCTACCTCTTCCCAAAAACTAGAGCACATCGTTACTTCTTAATGAAACTACAGATTGTAAAAATGCTTGTAAAAACACAGARAAGTTGAATTTTTCACCTTCTGGCTTAGAGTTTATTGTCTGTGATTCTACCATCCTAGTTTTTCAGTTTTTATTTATTAATTTTGTTTTTCAAACTGAAATGTTAATGGAATWTTGAGTGGAGTGACAAAACCAGCTGCTTCGCATCATCAAAGCTAGATTTCCTCTTCTGCCCCCTTTTGCATTCAGTGTTTTTGGATCTACTTCTCTTCAGTACGACTAAGTAATTATAGGCAAACAATGCCAGTTGCTCTTGTCACTCTCTTTTTCAGTGCTGTCCTCATTCTCTCTCTTTCAGACTCTCCCTCCCTCCGAWTCTCTTCCCCTGTGGGTTAATTATGATGTGTGTGGAGGGCAGGGACTGGTTTGTTTCCAGGGATGCTCGAATGTGTCAGAAATGGCTCCTTCTGTACTCTAATGGACCAGCGAGGCTTTAGCTATGCCTGTGGCATTAGCTGTACAGTCTTTAATGATGAAGACAGACTTTGTGTATTTTTTTTTTTTTTTTTTTTTGGTTAGCGCAAAGATTCCCTCTCTAGAGGACAAATCAGCTTGACTAATATCAACTTTGGAGAGGGCACATGGATCACCAAAGGTTGAAGAAATAAAATGTAGACGAGCATAACAAGCATTTCTTTTCTCGAAGGGTGTTGAACATTTCTTTAGGTCTGTGCAAAATGCTTGCAGCCTTTTTTACTCATTGTTTTCTAGTTTTTATGAGTTCGTACTTTCTGCCATGCTTCTTGCTGCTTTGATTAAAGAATGGGTTTCGGCTGCAGCACTTTTGCCTTTGAGATGGCTGAGCTTTCCTCCTCCCAAACTTTGTGACTTTCATATATAATCCATGCAGAATGCTGACTAAAGCTGAAGGTGGTAGCCTGCTGTTTGACTGTCTGCTGCAAGCAGCCGCTTCTCAACACAGYAGGTGATACATCTTTCCATTTTATTTTTTTTCCACAGCAGTGATGCTATATTTATGGTACWATTTTATATTTTCTTCCAATCTAACTTTTTTTTTCGGTAATAAAACTTGCCCACATCTATGCATGGCAAAGATTTTGAACATGATCCTGTGCAGCTTTTAGTGCTCAGAGGAGATGATGTGGATGACTTGCAGCAGATATTATTGTTCAATATCTGCAAAATTGAGTGAGTCAGAGCTTTATTTGTTTTTGCCAATGTTGATTTGTTGTGGTGGCCATCTTGAACTGGRGATGACTCACAAAATTGTAGCTCAGTAATGTGTAAAGTTGACAGTTATAGCATTTCTGTGTTTGCAAAGGATGAGTTAGCTGTGGGGACCAGCCTTTAATCCTCACTTCTTTGCGTTTATTTGGGAGCCCTGGTGTCAGAAACTTGTCCATACAGTATACATACTGTATACTTGTGTTCAAGCATTGATTTTTATTTTCATTCAGTCATGCTTCAGCTTCATCTCAACTAAAATTGCACTGTGCCCCTCACTKTGAAACCCACTGAGCTAGCTCCAGATGTTAATCATTTGTAGATTTACAATCAATGATTACTTTGGAGAGTTTTCATAAACAATAAGTATGTCCAGTGATTTATGGGATATTTTGTTAACAGACAGAAAAATGAACATACTGTATATTCACTTGCACTTCATTATAGCAGG